TGAGACCAATTTCGCGATGTCACAGAATGAATGAATCTGCTGGGAGCACTTGTTTGAATTTAAAACCTTATTCCTCAAAGTTAATCATATTAATTAAAATCGTATAGCAGTATTTGTACATCATTACGCATAGTGAAGTACCTGCCTGAGCTACGATGCAAACACATGGCTTTCCTGTTTTGGAGTCATACAGCTGTGCAGGTCTTATATTGTATGGTTTTCAAATGTAATAAATAAGCAGACATAATGTCTCCAAAGTTACAATGTGAGCATTAAATACACAGGTACAACACAACACATTCAAATTGATTTTTCATATCCTTCTTACTGACTTTATATTTCTGTTGCTCCTGTTAGGACTCATCCTGCCCTTCACCTCCTACTGTTAGATCAACTATTATCTTTTTTATTACTTTTATGGATCGTATGGTCATAAATTCATGCTCATTTGAATGCTGTCAGGATGAGTTCCAAACCAGGCCCCGCAAATTTGGAGTACAGTGTTATTCACCAGCTATTCATCAGCCTTGAAAACTGTAGACCCCTGGCCACGTCTTGTCAAAAATCTGCAAAAATCTGCTTGTTTCTATTTTTTGTGCCTTTTCTGCTAAATAACTGTGACTTTTAACCACATTTACATTTCAAGTTGAGTGTTGACCTTGAAAATGTTTAATCTCAGTCCTTTTTCACTCTGCGTTAGCCACTTTAGCTATTTGTTTACTCAATCTTTTGAATTTGATCTGTTTATTTCACTGTTTCTCTGACACTGTGTCATTACTGGCAATGTCTTGTTACATTGCGTTACCCAGTGAAGGCAATTCAAATCCTAAACCTTGAATCTGTGCTGCAGACTGTTGTCTATCATCTGTGGCTAAATCAGAATTATGGATTCAGGAGACAAAATAAGCTCTTTCCACTCTTCAACTGTCCAGAGTTGGTGAGTCTGAGTCCACTGCAGCCTGCCGGCCTCAACCCTTAAAATGCCATTCATTCTGAAATGCCTCTCAGCTTGTCTGTGTTTTGAAGAGAGGTTCTCTAAGTTGCAGTAACATTTTTGTCAGTTTCAAATTGTCTGGTGTTTCTCCTTTGACCTCTCTCAACATGAAGACGTATAGAACCACAGCTCCGTCTTAACCAGTCTGTAAAGCTCGTGTTTAGATTTCATTTTTTTTCATACATCGTAACATGTGGCACTGCGCAGGTCACATGTTCTGTTGATGGCAGGTAGACTCAATGGGGATTTGAACGCATCTGCACATCAATTAGTGACTACATTTAGATTTTTTGTTACTGTTAAAAAAAAATTCCATGCCTTTGCCATTTTGGGACTGGACGACAGTATCGTAACTCTTTTTTTAATAAGATGTACCAATAAATCTGTCAAATGCCTCAAGTTCCTACAAAAAGCTGCAGCATAATATCTGACGGAGGGAAGACAGAGAGATCAGATTCCTCCAGTGTCGGTTTGCCTCCAGTGCCTGCTCGTACAATCCAAGATAATATTTTAAATCCACCTGCTCATCTAGAAAGCATTTAATGATCTCTTAGATGATGTCTTAGATGACTACCATCCCAATAGATTACTACGCTGAAGAATATTTAGTTCTAAATGTGAGTGTGTAACAGTAAAACGGGCGGAGGAGAAGAGATGTAATTCACCTGAGGCCAGACTCTCTATATAAAGACTTAAAAACATACTCTATAATATGACTTTTAGTATACAGGGCTTCAGCTAGGCCAACACCGCTGAGGGAACTCCCATGGTGCAATTACTCTGCCGTCTCCTCCTATGTTATATTTTTATTTACACTTGAAAGACAGATTGACAAATGGATGGACAGCTGAGCCAACCAATGTTTACAGTTTCGTTTAAGACCAATAAATGACAGCCATTTGATGCAACTTCGTATGTGTGTGTGTGTGTGTGTGTGTGTGTGTGTGTGTGTTCTGTCCCACCCTTTTATTAATCACTGCAAGCTTTCATTTCTCATCCCACAGACTCCCTTTTATTCTCTCTCTCTCTATCCTTCACTCTGTGTCCTTGCTCAACCCTGTAACTAATGACTCTGGAGGAGGCAAGCAAACACACACACACACACACACACACACACACATACACACACTAATACAAGTCCACCTACACAGTCACATAAACACTTACACACAGAGATGAGGAGTTGAGGGAAAAGTAGAGGATGGAGGATGAGAAGAGAAGGTTGCAGTGGGTCAAATGAAGACAAGAGAAAGCAAGTTAAAAGGAAAAAAAAGAAAAGAGAAACAGGGAGAGAAAGACAGGATGTGCCAAGGACCAGGGGAGAAGAAGAAAGAGAGAGGAAAACAGAGGGAGGTGTGAGGTGTCACTGCTAGTGGTAGCATCTCTCTAATTAGCATAGTGACCTTGGCCCTGCGGACACACACACACGTTGGCAGTTAATAATGCTTGTTTTCTGCACACAAAGTTCAAGAGGCCAAAATGTAAAAGTGACTCATTCATTTTTGTATTTGGAAAACAGACTCAACAGAGTCACATTGGAACACAACCACCACCAAACCCAAAAATGGTTTCCAAACAGCAGCCATCTTTCAACTGGAAAAGAAAAGACCATTTTTGGCTCAAACACACATTATTTGCAGGTACTACTGGGAAGAGTTTTTTTTATTTCACAAAAGTCATCTAAATGCCCAGCATGCATCTGTTGAGGATTCGTCTTCAGGTGAGACACCCGCCTTGCATCACACCAGCCAAACTGAGAAAAGGGCAATCAGTAAGACTACGGCTGACAGGCTGACTGACTGACAACTGTCAAATAGATTGCCATGGACTGTAGACCAATGAGGACAAAGGTTTCACTGAAGTATTGAATGTCACTCTCAACGGGTTCTAAAAGCCATCAGAAGGATGTACAGGATTGACTATAATCCTCTACGAAGCAAACAATATTGTTTGGATAAGTCACCAATAGAATCAGGTGTGAAACACACAAATCTACCTGGTGTCATTTTTCACTCTGATTTTACCATTCAATCTAATTAATTAGAAATAGTTTTAAATAATTTGACAGCATTAATTGAAACATAATTAAAAGAGGTTCTTTCCTTCAGCTCATTTTCCAAATTGTTACCCAGTGTGATCATGGAGTGTAAAGTACAAAAAAATACAATCAAAACAAATAGCACAAGCCTTCAGTGTCATTATTTTTACTCTCATCAAAATGGTCCAAAAATCAACCAAAGTTAGAAAAAACTGCACCTGGAGTCAATGCAAAACGAGCGGTTGGTCATGTCGAACATTCTTTAAAGCACAAACCTGCTAATTTATGTATGAAGAATAATAGCTGTGAGGCACCACACACAGCCCACATCCTTCCTACAAATTCTTATCACACCCGCGTTCACTGTAATCCATCTTGTCAAGTCGTCTTTTCTCACACTCAGCTCTTGATAAAAAAGCTGTCTTTTTAAGTGAGTGAGGCAGCGAGGAAGTCTGACCGCTATTCTTTATGGCACAGATGTAGTTGTTAAGTTAGCAATAAGAGAAGGAAATTGTTTCTGCTGTCACAACCCGCTGTACCACAGTAACAGTGTTTTGTACATTACCTGTCACCCTAATGTTGGTGTTGACATTTAGTTAAGATTTAAACAGATTTAGACAGTTTGGCAGACATTTCATTGTTTTTATTCAAATTTTGTTCAGACCTTTAGGCCTTTATTCATCTATTTCAATATTTGTATCAAGTTTATTAATTAATTCATTTCAAGGTTGGTCTAGTATTCCTTAAAATGGAAAGGAATTAATATTATTTGCTTTCAAAATAATATTTTCTCTTCTTCTTTTTTTGCTGAAGAAATTCTTACAACCATCGTAGACGATGTAGAAATGAGAGAGACATGAGTTAGTCTAATTGGGAGAAGCCCCATTGAAAACATTTCTTTTTTTTTTTTTAACCAAAGCCATTTAAATTGCATGTCTTATAAAACGGTTGCTGGGAATACAATATCAGTGAGATTGACTGTGTTGTCGTACCCAGATTCCAGAAAGTTAGACAAAACACGAGCGGCTCTGTGCATAATTAGTTCACGAAACAGTACGAAGTCTGTGTAATTTCATTTGGAATCGACTCCTTGGCCTCTCTGGCATCCCTGCGGAAAACTTAATCTCCAAGGAGTCGAGGGCTTCTCTCTCTTTAATAACAGCTAAACACATCAACACTGCCTCCTACAGCCGTTTGAAACAAAATAAGCGATGGAAGCCTAATGAAAAGGGTTTAATAGAAGAGCAAGGCAGAGGTTGCTCAGAGGCTTGCTGCTGTTTTAATTCAACGGGACGCTCCTGGTGCAGGAAGATTGTCACATTTTAATTGCAATCCACTGCCAATTGTGAGAGGACGCATGGTGTCATACTGCCTGGAAATGTGAAAGCAACGCAGGCCATTCAGTGTCTTTCCCTCTCACACACTTGTTTAATGTAGTATAACGTGTTTCCAAGTGTCTATCTGAATGTGTACGTATAACTTCTGCACGGAATTCTTTTTTCTGCAGTCATCTGTTTCTTGTAGTGGCCACCAGTGGTTAGTTAGCAGTAGTAGTAAGTTCTTAAGTAGTACTCGTTTTTCCATAACGTAGCAGTGCCTGCAGTGTGATCATAGCTTTAGAGTCAACTGTCTTTCCCAGGGACATACAGTATCAACAACCAGACCTGGGAATTTCTAGACTGATTTATGCTGAATAACCAGCCATGACCATCATTACCACATTACTACTAAGACATTAACCAAAAACTCAGTCGATTTTGGTCCAAATCAAGTATCTAATGCTACTGTTATGTAGCTTGGTTTACAGAATAATAAGCAGTTTATTATTGCTACATCATCGTTGTAACCACTGACCAACTGCAAATAAAATAATTAATTGTTGTTAAAAACATCTGGAATTTACACCGACTCTGAGAAAGCCAAGTGTCTCAGTTAAGAGCAGTGTGTGAAGTGAAGGTTGAATCCTACCTTTGCCATTTGTGCCTGGACTCCGCTGGCTTTCAGGGAGGCCACAGCCTTCTGGGCTGCTGCAGGGCTGTCGAAGTCCACAAAGCCGTAGCCTGTAAACATAAACAACAATGCAGGTAAGCAGTCAGTGTGGCAGCGTAAAATGTAGTTATTATAGGCTTCAATATTACTGAGCGTGTTTTATTTTAATACAGCATTAATCCAATAAACTTGTAAAAATCAAGTCAGGTCGTGTATTTAATAATGTTCCTCCATTAAATGGGTTTATCTCACATCTTTAAAAGAATTGCTGTCATAAACAGTAACTCTTCTGGTTTATGATCCAGAAAAGGAATTTTTCATGTGGCTGCAGGTTTATGTACAGCCCGTTACAGTTCTTAGCAGTAGAATTATGACTATATAGTACTGGAAACACTGTTGGATGCCTGTGTCCTAAACCCTTATATAATGTCAAAAATAAAAATAAAGTAACTGAAACATCAACATGAACATGAAATATGTTGTGGGTTTTTTGACCTGTACTGAGTAAATCCATTCAACTTTATAGTAGATTTACTCTATTGTGGAAAAATTAGAAAATAGAGAAAAATAAAAGATAATAAAACACATTTTTGATTCCAACACGAAATTTAGGAACTAAAGTTTTTCAATACAGGAGGGTCAAAATGGCCTGAAACATAATCTGCAAACATTCTGCAACACATAAAGAACTAAAATGGGTCCAATGGACATGTAACATAATACTAAGGTTAATGTTAATTGTTTTTCATGTGTTTCTTAGTAAAGTTTTAAAATAAACTGTGAATTTGTACTACTGGGGAAATGTTGTCTTTTTGTTTGTTTGTTTTATTTAAGGAAGTTCTGACTTTATTTGCAGCATTTAAATACATTTGCAGGAATAGGACACGTAAACACCATCAATGTTCATTTGGTCCACACACTGTCTGTCCATTGTCTCTAATATGTGAATGGTGACACATGGCCAACAGTCCTTGGTTTTTACGCACAAAATCCTCCTTCTGCCTCCCCATTGTCAGATTTATTGTCCCCGAATGTTTGCTCATTTGGTTCCAGTACAACTAATCAGGCATCCAATGGTGGACAAAAGTTTGTCCTTCTGCACCAAGAAGATTCACGGAATTCTCAACGCAGTAATTAGAGCTAGTGAATGTGAACTGTTGTGTTGAACTGTAGATGGTCTGGGGATTCTGGTCCTGCAGGAAAGACCGATGGACTCAAGGTCTGGTCACAGTCACATTTCTTTTCACAAATGTCTGCTTTTAAAATAAACCCTGCTTTTCACATTTTTATGGAGCCACACAGCGGAAACTGGAGGGAAATGTCAAAAAAAGACAAGGAAGGAAAAAGACAGTCTGTGTCTGCTGTGAGAATGACACTTTGCATGTGGAGGGACAGAGAGACGGAGACAGGGGATGAAATACTGGGCACATCTGCATATTCTTCAGCAGTGTTTTCTGAGTTCTTCAACAACACCACAGCTGTACTGGTGAGTGGGCTGAGCATTAACACATCTAAACGACACACATTTCTAAAGCACTTGTGGAAATCATAAATGTAAATATGCACACAGAGCAGGTTTACACTTCTTTACATTTCTAGCATCTGCTCTCGTCTATCACTTTTCCATCCTAGCCCTTTTCAAAACCGCTGATATGCAGTTGTTTTTTTTTTTTTTATTGTTCAAAGGCCAGGCGCTGCTTTCACAGCACGGTCTGCACTGCACACACAAATATTTACACTGTTGCTAATGAGAAACACATACTTTTGCCAAAATAGGGTAAAAAAATAAACCCACACAAGCAAGTTCTAGGACTTGTGCTCACGCACACACACACACAGGATTGGCTGCGACAGATCTACAAAGATGAGGGAAGATCACATCACAAGGATGCAGGCATGTTTATGCAATGGACACGAGCATGTGCCGTGTTGCAGTAATTATAAATAAACATGCAGAAGTCATCATTAGCCTGAGAAGATGCACATTTAGTTTAGAAGAATGTCTACATCCCTCCTGGTCCACGCATGTTTCGTTAGCCACTGTGTGTGTTTAATTAGTAAGGCTTAAATTTCATGATGCAATTGTAACAACTGGTGCTTTTTGTTTGACGCCAGTGGCTTCAGCATTTATCAGGAGTAAACATGATGATTAGCGAGACACTTAGAGACATACAGACACACAGAGTCGACACAGGCTCCCTCAGTTCCAGCTCAGCCTCAGATCATCTGCTTCCATCTCACCCCCTCTATTGCATCCACTTCTATTACACCAGCCAGCCTGCTGTAGCCTCCTAAGACGTCCGTGAATCTTCTCTGCCTCAGAGCTCTGCCTCAAGCAGCCTTTGTCTCTCGTAATAACTTCAACAATGTAGTTTTCTATGGCAAAAGCTACTTTAAATCTTTCCCTCTTCCATTGAAGTATGTATGATGCAATTTTTTTTTCTTTTCGGCAACTTTTTTTTCCAATTTTCTTTTCTAAAATATGATGTTCACAAATCTGCAACATCTAGAACGTCATTTATTGTCAATCATATCATCCTTCATCATGCTCTTGGGGAGGGCCTGAGACATTTTCAGCGGTTATCAGATAAGGTTTGGGGGCCACCCTTGCCCACCAACCGGTCTATCAAAGGGCCACATATAGAGAGAAAGAGCAATATACTGTACGTATGATAGTATTACGGGAAAACACACCTATAAACTCCACACAGAAAGAACTGAACAGAAATGTATTACATCAAAATCCTAGTTTGTCTATTGAACTGTTTTCTTTGTATTGTTATTGTATTGTTGTCATTTATTTCTAAATATGTTATGATATTTGTGTTTTTGGTCACTGGGAACACCAGATTTTGCAGATAAAGCAGTATTTATCTCACCCTCACTGACATGTGACTTTACAAATAAGACATTTTCATCTTATTTGTTGCAGCCAGTATTATAACATCAATAATTTCAATTGAAATTTAATATTTTATTTTTCAAAAAGCACCAATAAAGGTGTAGAAGCAACTATTTCACAATGTTACCCTAGTTAAAAAAACATACAAATATACAGAGTCATGTAATTTTTAATATATCATAACACAGATTGAGTCCGATATTCGTCCCACAAATTTAGGTCTCTCAAGGTCATCACAAATCTTTGTAACTGACTGGCTGCCACACGGCGGCGCCATTCAGAATATGTGGTTTCTCTGGGAATGGAAACCAGGACTCCCTGCTCCCTGCTTGCAACAACTACACAAGGAGACCGCTCGTTTTGTACAATATGGCTAACTTTAGTGCAGCACATCTGGGACAAAACCTGGTATTTTAAGAGGCGAGAGTCAACATTTCATATCCACTGTGTTCATTTTTATACTGCGGTGAATGAGATACTTCTCTTCATCGCCATGACCTTTAGAATGTCATAGACCATCAACCTCAAAGAGAACGTTTCTCTGCTTCATTCTATTCTTTCTCAGGTTATTGTCGCTGTATTCTAAAGATGTATTGGCTTCTCTCTACAGGAAATAAAGAGGTCAAGTACATTGAACAGAACACACCCTGTAATGAGTAGTGGTCCATTGTTTTGCTTAATGACACTTAAGCTAGTCAGGGTGGGGTGGGGGCTGAGTTTCTGAGCAGATGTTTTTGGCCATGTCCTGGGGTGAAACGCAAAACCACCCATTTATTTGCACATTTTTTATGAAAATATAAATCACAGGTTTATAAAAATAATAAAATAGTGAAATATTATCCTGGAATGTTATAATCCATTTGGGCATGTGAACTAAAGTATGGCACAAACATGTACGATAATAATACAGCCTGCTCAGTCAGGTACAGTCAAGTAACACACACACACACACACACACACACATGCGTGTACACACACATGCAAAACAACTAAATAACAGAGATCTCAGTATCCCCGGCCTCCATCTAATCTCCGGAGCTCCCAGAGTTCCTGGCCTTGGGCCAGTAGAAGAGGCTAAGCGAATACAGAGAAAACAGCATGAAGATGAAGCAAAGTAGAAACAGGAGGAAGAGCAGTGACTCAGAGGGTGAGTGAGAGACTGGCAGGCACAGAAAGAGTAAAATTGAGATGAGCAATAGGAGTGAGAGTGAGGGAGGCAGAGGGAGAGAGAGAGAGAGAGAGGGAGTGAACCAGCAAGAGACATGGAGACAGCGAGAGGGAGGGTGGTTATGTTTGGGAAATGGAAATCCTTTACAATCTTAAGTGGTTTCCTCTCGTTTCCTTCCTCCGTCCTGTTCTCTGTGCCCTCTCCCTCCCCCTGAGCTCCCACACTGCTAACTAGAAAACTGTCAGTGTATTTAACACCGTGCCTCTACCTGCTCCTGCAGCTGAAGACTTTATAAAGAAAAGTCGATGATTATTTCAGAGGGCAGAGTGAAACTTTCTGGGCCGTGTTTTCCACTCAAATGATGCATTTTAACAATGTACAAGACAGTTAATAGTTAGGTTATTTCATTTTCAGGGTCAAAGATGGACGTCTGCACGATTTACTCATTGAATCTCTTTCATTACATTTTTATAAACAACATAATTATCAAAGAATCGAAAAAAGGTCCACCAGGTCCTTGTTTTACAGCAGCAGCAGCAGCAGCAGCAGCATGAAAACCAGTGGAGAAGGAAATGTTTATTTATTTATACGTCTTTTGTTCGGGATTTTTAACATTCCAACGTCAACAAAACCTTTCTGAGAAGAAACGGCTGCTAAATCACGTTCATTAGCACCGCCCGCCCTTTTCTGTCAGCCCCGGGTTATTTTTACGCCCTCCTTCTACTGGCCTGCACCTCCTCCCATCAATTCCTCTCTTTTCAAAGACAACTTGGTGCCAATTTGTACTCTCTTAGTCACGCCAAGCACTTATCTTGTCCCCAGTGAATGCCCCTGCAATCAAACCAACACTTATCTGGTTGCGCAGCATTCTAATGGCCGCCTCTGATAATGAAACTCCTTCATTGTGACAAGTGACTAAGAGACGAACACTGATCGGCAAAACAAACCCAGCAAATAGGTGTTAGTGTGAGGTTACTATCAAATAAACAATGAGGCTGCACAGTAAATCCCAGATGAGAACCTTTTTTTTCCCGCTTCACCTCAGTCTTTGGAACTGAACATAGGCTGGTGATGATGCTCCCTGAAAAAAGAAACAATCATAAGAAGTCATGCGTTTAATCGCGATTAAAATATTTAATCGTTACCCAGACCTAGAACACATATATGTGTGTATAAATATATATACAGTATATATATATGTATATATATATAGTTATATATATATATACTATATATATACATGTATATATCCAATAATTAGTGTATGTGTCAAAAAGCCTAGAAAACAGAATATTTTCTCATTTCATGAGTTAGAATCAGATTTCAAGTTTTTTTTATATTTACTGTCGATGGCACCCAAACAGCCTCCAGCACTGGGGAAGTTTGCCACCAAGTGTGGAGCAGTCAGGATGAAAGTAAGAATGTCCGACGGATGAGTCATATCATGTTTTTCGTCAGTTTTGAGAAAGTGTGGTAAGGAACTATAGAAAACACCTCCACAGCTTGGTCCCATATTGTTGCTTTCTTCAAATGCGTCCCTCAAGGAATACATTTCAAAGCTTGGCCCACATTAATTCTTGGCGCACCCACATTTTATATAAAACAATGATGGATGGTGATTCCAGTAGGCTGTCAACTTGCTGCTTGACTCTGAAGTGAGTAACAGTCACGTCACAGTTTAGTACATTATCCATTCTTTCTATCTGATTTTGACCCAGGTTACTTTGCAGAACGGTTTTGTTTGTACTCCATAATGAGGCCTTCCATCAAAATTCCAATAGTCGTCACTGGACAGATGAAGATGTGCCGACAAGTGTGAAGAGTAAAACAGTAGAGAGTCACTTAAGTTATTTTATCACAAGCAATCACAGCCTATTTAATCTGAAAGTCGACTTTCAAACAATCACTGTCTGTGCCAATCAGAGTAGTTTTACTTTCAATATTGAAGTTGATATGCTGATTACAGGGCACTTTGGCTGTTTGTCCTAAACTGTACCAGTGTATCTCTGAGAGCAGGCCCGACAGATGAAAAGCAATCACTCTCAACACATGTTTTTGTGAGTTCCCTTTCTCAAGCAGACAACTACAATCATATTGATTACTGCTCGGCTGAATCCTCTCCAACAATCAAGCAGACCCTCGTCAGAAGACACTTGAGTCAGTCGCCTTCATCACAGACAGTATTTGAAACACGCTGGCACTCTAAGGTTCTGTGTTCTGCCTTTGACTGGCCAAACGACAGCCGTGCAAAAACAAAAAACATCCCGCGATGAAAAGCTGCTCAACTTTCAGCACTGCTTGGGTGAGGTTCTGTAATTATCGCGATGCAGAAGAGAGGACTGAGAGTACTGCAGCGGTGCAGTACACAGACGGATTAAAGGATGGCCTTATCTTAGAGTAAGCTCATACTGTTGTGTCGCATACACAGGAAGAACATGTACCCACATCCTATCAAAACAAGTGGAACACAACACAGAGAGTGGCTCACACATGTCCAAGTCATCTGTTTCCATTTGACATTACAATGTCTGCTGAAAGACATCGGAGCTCAGTGTTAAAAACCAATGGGCAGCGATTAATTGGGAACTCAGATCCGTTGAAGAGGAAGCGGTTTAAACTGGTTAGGATTGCTTCAAGCTGCCAAGTTAAATCAATCCTCAATTGATCTTTTCCAGACTGAAATCTAATATCTAAATCGGAGCTTGGCAGCGACAGGGTGACTTTGCATGACTAGGACATCAGTACAGCAATAGTCAATGGATGCTCACTCACCTTTACACTGATTGGTGTTCTTGTCCAGGATGGCCTTAGTTGATACAATCTTTCCATATCTGGGGAGGAAACGAAAAACAGAAGACAATTGAATTCACCTTCAAACGTGGAATATAAGGACAATGGAAATTATTTGTTAGCCATGTTAACTTCACTGCTCTAAAATGGTAACAGCAGTCTGTCAGAATTCCAATTACTGTATTGGTGGGCCAGAGTGGTAAACACACAAATCATGCACTTAGGAAAAAAAAGGTTCTGGGCATTCGTTCTTTGGAAATAAATTCCTGGAACTTTATTAATCTTTTATAAAGCATCTGGTAAAAATTATTTGTCCTGTACTTCAAATGATTTTCCAACTATTGGGAATATTACTGCATTTCCAGTAGCTTTTGTTTGGTTTTTATGTTAATGCTTTTTTTCAAATATAATTTAATTTTAAGGTTTTCTATTAAATGTAGGTAAGTGCTTTTCTGTTTATGTGAGTTCCGTTAATTATTTGTGATGACCTCGAGAGACCTAAATAAAAACGCAAAAGCAAAAACATTATCATTATTAGAGTTGTTCCCATACTTATTGCTTTACAAAACAATACCAGTACTACTCTCTGCATTAGTGTACTTGTGGATACCAAGTGCAGATAGAGATACTTGTGCAGTGTGTGTGTGCTCGACCTAAACCACAGGGAGGACACCGAGGAAGAAACCGTTGACGGAGAGTTTAATTTCTTTTTAAGAGAAGAGCATTTTCAAGCCAAAAAAAAAAGTCTTCAAGCCAACGCAATTGTCTCTTTAGACACAACCAAAAATAAATAAATAATAGGTCAAATTAAAAAGATGAATTGAACTTTTCTGCACAGTTAACACAGCGAGCAGTGCTTTCATATCATTGGTGGACTACAAGTAAATAAAAATCAACAAATCTCTCCACTCTCTCTTCTTTTGCGTAAAAAAGTTGTCAGTTAATCTGTGTAGCAATATTTCTAGGCTACAATAAACAAATGAAAACACACAATGTTGTCAAATGGCTAAGTAGATTCGTTGACCAACAAAATAAACTATGCACAAAGACAATGAGACACCGAACTCCAGTAGGATAAACAAAGAAGAACTATTACAATTCCTATGTGGCAGCAACAAAATTTATTTTTTTGTTTTCAATTGTGTAACCTTTGTTACTCTTTATTAGTCACACAAACTAAGAACACATCCAGCTGTCGCCTGGATGTTCCTTCTTCGTCCATACTTCAGAAGAGCTGGAGGAATGCTGACTAATTTAGAAACATAATTAACTTCAAACTTTCATTTTCTTTCTAACTTTAACATCTCATGGACAGTGAGAAGGTACTATTTAGGTACAGTACACGGAGCCACATTCCTAAGAAATTCACTACTGCTGATCGAAAGTTTTAAAGTTCCAAGTTCAAATTTAAAAACCAAAGCACAAAAACTTTATAGTGTGAATAAATTCTAACCTGAAAACTTCTTTTTAACTTAACCATTTTTTTTACTGTTAAATTTTATTATTAAAGCTCCTTTCTGTCCAGTTCTGTCCTTATCTATTTCAAATCCCACCTGCAGGCTTCAGAATATACACAGCACTGTCTCATAAATGATAGTAATAACTATACATCTGTTAAGCCACCAGTGCTGCCGGAGGAGCCTGTGAGACAGACAGGCCACCTCCATACCTTTCCCCATCTGTTCTCTCTGACACATTTTAGCGTCTCCTGTCCATTTCACCGTCTCCCTCTGCTTTTCTTATGTTTGACACCTCCGCCTCCCTCTTTGTCTTCTTTTCTTATTTTCCACTCCATCTCCATCCCACTCCTATTCTCCTGCTCTGTGTTCTCAGAAAGAAGTTAATAATGTTTCTTATCAGCCTGGCCTTTCATTCCTGCAGGAGAGAGAGGGGAAAAACTCCAGAAAATGTATGAGTGCGAGGAAAGAGAGGGGGAGAGAAAGAGAAAGAGAGAGAGAGAGAGAGAGAGAGAGAGAGAGAGTCAGATCATCGAGATAAGCCCAGATCACTCACTGCCTGGCTCTGCACATGAGACTTTTTAATTAATGTTTTAACACTGCTGCTCAGTGACTGATTGGCTGGCTGAAGGACTATCAAACAGATTGACAAAATGACAAGCAGCCATACTGGCGGGTGGCCCTAGTCGAGGTATAAACATTTATTCCCTTGTCCCTTTTGGAGTATCACGAAAATGTCAAAAGAAAAACGCTGAAGACGGTACAACTGAGAAGCCGCACACAGAGAGAATGATCAAATTTTAGAGATTTGTTTGAATGAGGCGGAAAGACGTGGAGAGGGAGAAGGAGAGCAGTCAGTCAAAGGATAAAAAGAGACACTGAACGCAGGCGGGAAGCTGGGAAGTCAGGGAACGATGGGAAAAGATAGTAAGAGGTGTTTAATAAAGAAGAGATCATTTAGTTGTCACCATCAGGAGAGTCTCTGTCAGCCAACTGCTTCTGTCAGTAGAAAAGAGGGAAAAAAAGAGACCGGTCTTTCTGACAGCATCAAATCAACTCTATTGGGAGTTTAGAAACAAAGACGGAGGAACGCTTTAGAAGCTGCTATCACATATAACATGACAGCTGAGCAGCTTATGATCTCACATTTGAAATGGGAGAAAAATCACTGTGTTTTTTTTCTTTCTTCCTTAACAATCCTCAATTTCCACACACTTCCTGTTCAGTTCAAAACTGTTTTAGGCTATTTACAAATCCTCCCAGTTGTGACAGGCTAAAGTCAGGTCTGCTGTTTGTCTGTGACTTTTTTCACAAAGTCATGCCTGGTGGTAAACAAGGTCTTTGGCCCACGGTCTGGAGAGCCAGCCAACAGCTGTAGATGTGAAAAACACACTGAAAAAACAAAAAGGCAGGACTAATCGCCCACACATATATGCAGAAAACAAACACACATGCTGACATGCACGCAAGGCAACCTCACAGATCAAAAAAAAAAACAACAAAAAAACCCACCAAAGCAGTAATCACACACATTATACACGCCATCTGGCAGTAGCCTGCCTTTTTGTTGATTTCTGCCTCCATTTGATTAAAACTTTGTGTCAGTGTGTGAGCGTAAACACCTACAGTGCATGTGTGAACGTAAGTGTCTGGACTTACTTCACCACACAAATAGTTGTGTGGGTGCAGTTCCTCGAGATTACGCATATATGTGTGTGTTTGTGGAAGGACTACGAATGCATGACGAAGACCTCAGGCACCGAGTGTTTTGGCAAGTTGTTTTTCCCGACAGACAAGTGAAACATTTCCAGACTCTGACACGGTGTGTGTGTGTGTGTGTGTGTGTGTGTGAATAAAGAACAGACAAAAAGAGGTGTAACTGAACACAGTGAGAATCTTGAAAACATATGCTCAGTGTTGTGTTTTGTAGCAGGTAGAAAAACAAATACAGCATGTGTTTAATCAGTGGGTTATCACTAGATCAATGTGCTTTGTATCAGGACACCAATAAGTGGACACAAGGAAGGGAAAGGAGGGGAGAGGAGAGGGGAGGAGAGGGAAGGGGAGGGGAGGGGGAAAGAGGAGTGGAGAGGAGAGCACAAGAGAAGAGAGCAAGTAAGAGAGAAGCTATGATGCTCTAGCCTTGAGGAAATCTTAAATCATCACACTGCATCATTCAAAATGTTTTCTCATTTCTGACTTGACTCAGCTGTAAAATTCCATTCTTACCAGACAACATTAACAATCTATTATGGAAGGAGAGAAGGGTAAGAGAACTACAGAGTAAAGGAAGAACTTTTTTAAAAAATTTATGCAATTAAGATCATTTTCTAAATAACTTTCTTTTCTTTTAAACAAAATGTTATTGAAAAGATTTTCAAGTGACTAAAAAACTAATTTCAATGTAATAAACACACTAATTCAAAAAATTTTAACCATCCATTCCGTTACAATGTAAAATAACTATGGCTTGTTGACTCTTTTCGGTATGACTTCTGGGAGGAGCAGTCAGTGGCAGCAGCACCGTACTGTACAAACTCCACGGCGGTCATTCCTGACTTGGTTTTTACAGCAGTTTTATGTGGACACTAAAAGAACATTACTTTAAGGGTAACATGAGATATTTAAGGACATTTCACCCAGAGCTAAGTCAGACCTTTTTGTTGAATAATTTTTTATTACCTACTGGCCACGTGGTACTGTAACACATCCAACAAAGGTTGCTGGTATTTGGATGTAGATGCCTGTGAGGACACTGTCACTTTATGAACTATTAAACAGTACAAGAGGCTACAGTCAACTGCCACCATCAAGGGATTATGTATAATCATCAGTTACAGTAAGAGGAGCAGTAAGATCAACTACTGTATGTTAGCACAAAGTATTAGCATTAGTTTCACCACTGGGTTATTTCAAATAAAATGTTCTGTTGGTGTGAGCTGGTAGGTTTCATTTATAAAGTATCTTATCAATGTATTTAATACTCTGTTTTATTGATTTTTTTATTGTTAAATGACAATCTGATATTCATCCAAGTTTGTTCATGTCATCTGGCTCAAACAGGGCAAATCAGCAAAGGTAGTATTATAGAAATAATACTGTAGCAAACCTAACTTCTGTTGTTTTGCCAGCCTTAAAGTCACCCTGCGAGTTGTCAAATAAAACACAGGCAGCGAGTTTTCAAAACCTAAAATCTTAAAATACCACACTGTGGTGTTATGAGGAGTAATGCTATGTATTCTAATTCTGTGTCTTCTGCAGCCTCAGGATTCTCTTCATTCTTCGTTGTTCAAGACATTTGTTTTCCGTTCATGTCGTACGTTTCCTCACCAAGTTATTGGGAAACTTGTAAGAGTGTCTGTAACCCGATGACGGGCGAGGCGCTGTGTGTCTCAGTACACATTGCTCAGTCGATGATTGTCAGTTTTCACCTGAAAGATGTAGCGCTCCGACAAAACACCTAAAACTTCCCCCTTCACTGCACAGCTGTTTCAAGAGTTATAAACAATTCGCAGAGAGTACGAGACTAATGTAAAATTCCTTTCTTCACTTGGTTTCACAAAAACACAACAAAGGCCCATAAGGCAGAGAACAAAGTCCCTCTGCAGCAGTCGTGGTTCTGGCGGGTTACTGAGGGGTAACTCTGACAGGCTGACTTTCACTGTGGAAACCTTTTTAGGACAAGGTACAAGTCCTCTTCATGGACTTCTAAGAAGCCTTGCCAAAACTGGAGTTTAGAATGTTCTTTTTTTCACCAAAAAACTGTGGAACACAAAGAAAAGTAAGGCCACTGAAACTGACAGTATTTTCCAGACTGTCAAAACTTAACAAGGGATGACAGCACACAAGTTGTGCTGTGCAACCAATTTTGGCAGGTTTGACAAAATCAGTATGGGAGGAGACAGTATGTGTTCGTGTGTTCGTGTGTGTGTGTGTGTGTGTGTGAAGTGTAAATGGCAGTCCTCAGAGGCTCCTGCAGCATCAGATCTGTTTTCTTTACCTTCGCAGCACCATCAGTCAGTGGGAGCTCTGTTTGATGTCTTACTGACTTTCACACAGATTTATGGCCACACACACAAACACATTTGCGTCCTCATCATGATCATCAAACTCATCATCATCATCTCTACATGTTTTTAAGGTCATATATTACATTTATGTGTTTACTGTATAGAATATTGAATGTTTTTCTAGCTATTTTGGCCTTTGGAAGAAAACATGTTTCAGAACATTGTACTACTCGTCAATCCAACCCCCCATGTTAATGTTGAACACATATGTTAATCAACAAAAACAACTGAATTACTCAGTTATCATTGTTCTTTGTCTTCGTAAAAAGTTTTGGTGCATCGAGAAATTTTTGTTCAACTGCATTTTTTTTTTCAAAAGTGTAGACGCTTCCCTGAAACTGAGTTTTATTTGCTATATATTTGCTAATTCTATAACTTTAATCATTGTGTGTGTTCAGTGAGTGTGTGTGCCTGCTGGATGGTTGTGTACGTAGGTGTGTGTGTGTGATGGTACTGTCTATGTGAACGGATGTGTGTGGGTGTGTGCATTTATGAGCGTGGAGGCAGGTTGAGCTCTGTGTGTGGTATCTCCTAATTGGGCATCAGATACAGCTGTCTTGTCTCCTGCATTTTCTTCATTTTCCCTTCCGTTCTCCCTGTTTAGACTCCAACAGACCAACACTGATGGAAGACAGCAGAGAGCAGAGCTTCTGAAGTGTTCATAGTCAATTCCCACGTGAAGTTTACCATGTTCAGGCACCGTGAACATAAAAAAATGCATCTCTGAGTCCTCTAAAAAAAAAAAAAAGAAAAGAAAAAGGCAGAAATGAAGTGTAAATTTAAAAGACTACACTTGTTTAAGGACTGGATTACAAGTCTGTAATTAATGTTTCATAACATACACTGGCTACGGAGACCTCATTCACATCTATGTGTGTTTGTTAAAATGTAGTAGTGAAACAGAGAGAGAGAAAGAGAGAGAGAGAGAGAGAGAGACAAAGAGACAAAACATGCCAGTGAAAGTAAGTGTGTGTGTGTGTGTGTGTGTGTGTGTGTGTGTGTGTGTGAAAGAAATTGCCCTTGTGCTTTGCTTAAGATTCCGCTCACGTTCTGCTCTGTCCCCAAACGTTAAAAGTGTGTCCATAGTTTGGGCAACCGGGGGAGTGATTGGAAATGTCAGCTGACAACAGCACTTTTCACTGACACTCTGCGAACTGGCACGAAGACAGGAGAGGAGGGGGAGAAAAGGGGATGGATGGAGTGATGAAGGAAGAGGATAAAAGAGGGGGAATACAAGCAGGAAGTGGGAAGGTTGGCAGAGAGGGGGGGAGACGGGGGTGCTGGTGGGTGTGTTTGCATACACACAGAACAGTGAGGTCTACTGACAATAATGATGAGAATATCATTGTGTGTGTGTGTGCCTGAGTGGTGAATGCGTGTTAGTGTGAAGGGACAGCCCTATGTTATCACAGTGAGGGTGAACTGTGTGTGTGTGTGTTTACACTTCCTAAATACATACTTATGTAGAATTTCTGTCACCGCTGCTGATTTCTTATCACCAGTTTTCTTAATGAGGACCAAAACCTTTAGTCCACAGAGAGTGACACTCGTTTCTCAGACTGTGTTAAAGTTAAAGTTACCGTCAGAATGTGAACTGTAGTTTGTCTAAAATAACTGCCTTCGCACCGATACAATACGCGTCCTCTGTGCCTGAAGCCAGTCTGTGTGAATCTCAGTCGTCTGAATATCCACGGCCAGTGAAAAAGGTTGAAGGAGACAACGTTTATTTTCACTACCTTGAAAACGGATGTTTGGTGAATTGATCCGACTGACACACATTCAGTGAAAGAGTTGAAACTGACATCATATATGGGTCAGATTTATTACTTATTTACACTGCATTTGAAGGACAATGGCTGACTACACTGACAGTGTTTTCTGTGCATGTGGAAATTGTCTACAAATGTACAAACCACAGTAGTAAAAAGTGTTATTTGGAATATTATCTTCAACTGTGACCAGAATGCAAGTAAAAAATACAAGCATGTCCAATCTAGGATTGAATGAATAGAGTGGGTCTGATCAGTAGGTCTTGGTCTGGGGTCTACAACCTTCAACTCCAAAATATAAATTATTATCATTTTCATTATGTGCACATTGTGTGCAACAAGATGGGAAAAAAAATGGCTCCCTCTTCAGCTCCCACTCAGGAGCCGGCTGCTATTGTCCAGCTGGTTTGTTTGCGACCCATGTTTAGCTGTAAGGTTGACCTTCTTGGTTAACACAGACCATTTTTTCTGTATTTTCTGTTCATGTTTGCGTTTGTGGTATGACTTTCCAAAATGAGCTAAGCTAAACTTATCACAAAACAGTAGAACTGGAGTTCACCAAAGCCAGAGCTGAACAAGGCATTAATTGATACTACTGACATTTTAGCTCAAATGTTCCACTTAGGCTGTCAGTCCAACTGGATACAAGATCTCCAACAAGAGCAGCTGCTTGAATCCCGTTGTCTTCATGTGTCTTCTGTGGGGTGTTTTTTTTTTTTTGAGAACATGCATACCAGTGATTGAGCATCACAAATGCCAGTGACTGGCAGCTTCCTGTCACTTTTTCTGAAAGCCAGTGAGAGTTAAAAAGCCAACAATCCAGCAGAACACCCTTGTCCTCCCCCTCCTCCTCCTCCTCCGACCTTTCCTAAATGTTACCGGCCACTTGGCACATTCACTGGGCCTCTAATGAAACTTTTATTGGCACCCATTTTTCACCCTGATTCTCCAGAATGCCTTCAGGGCTGAACTAAAATACAACAGACTTGAACTGCAGCTGACACTCAGAAGGGCCCATTATAGTGAATGTGAGTGTTGGAGTCTGACTGCTATATTTATATTTTTATGCATCTTTATATTAAATGAAAAATCAATGTGCTTAGTTAAATGCTGTTGATTTCATTTTCTGCAAATATTAATGTCTGTATTTGGCTTTAAATGATTTTGTGAAGATGTTTTGACTCCATGTCTGAGTGACAGACAGACTGTTAAATTGAAGCCAAAGTTGTTAAACTCAATTTTTCATATACATACTACGTTACCTTTAAACACGAGTGAAACACTTCACTCCTCACACACAGTTCAGAAGAAAGTCCTTTTAGACAACGTAGTGCAAGGGTGTCAAACTCATTTTCACCGAGGGCCACATCAGCAATACAGTTCCCCTTGAAGGGCCGGTTGTAACTGAAGGCTGTATAGATCAGGGGTCAGCAACCCCTGGTCCGTGGACCAGTACCAGTCCATAGGTCTCTTATTATTTATTCAAGCTAGAAACATTGTTCATTGCTGTGTAATAAAATTATTTTTTATTTTCTTGGGTTAAGAAACTCTGCTGCATGGACTTTACTAAATATTTTTAAGCTCCGCGGGCCACACAAAACATATTTGGCAGGCGGCATTTGGCCCCCAGGCCTTGAGTTTGACACGTATGACATAGGGTATTCCTAAAATTCTAACCTGTCTATCTGTGTCCTGTTCATAGCCATTAAAAATAATACTGTGTCGGGGGGCGCTACAGCGTTGCAATGCAACACAACAGATGCCATTCCTGAACCATACATCAGCATTAAGGTGCAGAGTTGCAGTTAAGTCAAACTGAACCACGGTCCCCTGCATGTCAGGCATTAATCCCACCACTGTCCCATGTCGACTAAACCACAGATGAATGAGTAAAAGCTAGGTGGAATTTTGTTTCACATTGATTGCATTTTGCGTGTGTGTGTGTGTGTCTGTCTGTCCTAGTGATAAACAGCAAACTGCTGATACTCATTAGAATCCATTGTTCCACTCAGAGTGGTGTTAAAAGCAAGTAACGTGAAACGTGCAAAAATCAATGATGGTAAATTCCTGCCATCAGATTAAATAGAATAGAATAGAATAGAATAGAATAGAATAGAACTCACGGCTGGCAGAGTTTGATGAGGTCCTGGTCGGTGGTAGCTGGTGGCAGGCCTCTGATGTACAGGTTGGTCTTACTAAGCTGCTCCACTAGCCCCCCTCCGTGACCTCCACCTCCTCCACCGCCACCCCCCCCTGTGGTGCTTGGACTGGGCGGAGCCATTGGTGGAGGTGGAGGAGCATATGACTGCTGTGGAAAAGAAGATACAGAAAGAGAGAGCGGTAAGGTCATTTGAAGTCACAAAAATAAAAACTCACATTGGCTCTACTAAAGTCACATCCATGTGAATAATTGCTTCCTTCATCAGACCCCACAGTGAAATCTTGAGCAGGAAACAAATCAAATCAAGAAAGCAGGATACAACTAATGACTCATTGTGGTTGCTGTAGTAAGTCTTCTGTGAACTTGTAACAATATCGTCCGTCTGACATTTATTCTAGCATCTTACAAAATCTACATCTTTGTTTAGTTTGCAGAGACTATAATAAACGTCGCCTTTCAGTCAGTGTTAATAGACACAGAACACTAGTTGTAAATTACCATGATTACTGGTTGGTAATTACTGGTCATTTTGTTCTAACTGAATTTTAATTTTATATTATATTACATCCCAAACATATTGAATGCAGGAGTTGAACGACATCCTTTTAAAGCAAAAGAGCACACTGTATGCTGGGCATCTCATTATTGGTGGCACAGACCGTAACTATCACCATCTAGTGTTTAATCCACGCCTGGGTCATTTATTTTTCTGACCCTACTTGTTCAGACGTTTTCTGGACGATTTTTAATCATCCTCCAGTGTCCAATTATACAGCTCAATACTGACCAAATGACTTGATAACACGGCCATTTGTGGCAACTAAAGAAGAGCTAGTCTGAGGATTAATGTAAGTTACAGAGTTTGGATACTACTTTAAATAAACATTTAAATGCAGTTGCTGAAGGTAAGAGGCCTCGTGGTATAAGCCAAGCATTAAAAACATGTAAATGAACCTGTACAGACCAGAGGTTATCATTTAAACGGAGCTAACTGCAGCGTAAATGCGCCCGAGGGGCTTTCAGGATGCAATGTTGTAAAATATGTAGTAACTTGGAAAAGTAGCATTTAAAGTGTTGTTAGGCTTCAGAAGCAGAAGAAAATCCCACGTTAATATAGCCAAAAGAGGGCCCAAAATGCTATACACACGCTATAAATAAGTCATCACTAAATAAAAATTAAAACAAGTGTAAATAAATGACTTGAGATAACCCAGAAATAGCTTGACAATATACTGTAAATGATATTCTCCCAAAAGGTAGAAAAAGCAACACCGATGACCAACACTGAAATATTTGGGTTGTCCATGCTAGCCATATTCAAGATTAGCTTTGAGCAGTCAAAGAACCTCTACCTCTATTTGCCCCTGAAGTTGAATCTGGAGCAGATTTCACTGATATTCAGTTAAGTAATGAAATACATTCGAAATTCTTAAATTCAAAGCCACTTAAAAAGGCAAACCCAGTTTAGCATCAGCTCTGCAGCAGACAGAGCCGAGCTGTCACACCGCAGTAATGTTACACCTCGAGAAGTCACAGACTGAGGTGATCAAAGGGATTTTCCACTGCAGACAAGTGTGAGACATGGGCATGGAAGCAGAACCGTGAGGACTGGTGAGAGACAGGTGAGGCAATAAGAACGTGTGTCTTTAGATGTGTTTGCAATGGCGGCTGTTTTTTGCACGCTTGTATGCTAGTTAGCTCCGGTACACTTGTGTGTCAGCGCCGGTGTTTTTGATAATGACAGGTTGTTACCACACAGCAAAGTGGAGCCAAAGCCAGCACTGATATTAATCCATTATCTTCATCACTCAACTGGCACACAAATCCTGACACACAGCTGCACCCAAACACACACACCCAAACACACAGGTGGCTTGTTAAAAAACAGCGCTGACAAAACCACGATCATGTGCAAGAGACTTGAGCAGCAGAAGGAGATTTGTGGTGCTCGTGTCTTTTGTAGGACTGTGCCCTACATCAACAGCCCAGCATGAACGTAATTAGATTTAAACGAAAAACAAAGCTGGAAAAGAACAAGGTAAGGTTCAGTGATACCTCATTCTAATGGCAGGAACAAACTGTACTGTTTACTAAATGTTTTCTAAAAACCCTTGCACTTGCAGTAATGATTGCCAGGGCCATTGTTCACTGAGAAGATACCAACAGAGTAAACCACAAAGCAAATGTAGAGACTGCTAAACAGCGGAATGGCAGATATAGGTGTTTTAAACAAGCATAATTAATAATCAACTGAATAAATCACACAAACCTCACATGCAGGTATGTAAGCATGTTCGGCCCATTTGAGAGACCAACAGGTCTATGGTCAGTTTTCTGATTGTCTCCTTTGGGATGGTCAGTTAATATGAGGAGATACAATTACAACAGAAGCTTAAAGCATTCATCAGCTGTTTCTGCTCTTGGCCAAGCAGAGGGATTTCCCACAACTTCAAAAAATGTTTACCATCATTACCTGAAGTTTGTTCATTGACTTTTTTCTCCAGGCAGACCTGCCTGCTGATAACCCATCTGTCCTAGTTGTGGGATTTTGGAAAATAACTGTCAATTTATTTTAGATAGTTTTCATCACTAGACATCCTGTTCTGAATTTGTTTTTGTTTGCTCAACATTCTAAGTTTGTCATTAAAACCGTAAGAAACTGCTCCAGGAACAGCATACTATAGTTTTATAATAGACTTCAAACCAGTTAACTCCTGTTTTTCTCATTCTTTTCTGACAGGAGTAAGAACAGACAAAGAGCTACACTGAAAATAAAATAATAAACAAAAATAATAAAAAAGGAAACATGTTTTATCATTTTTGGGATAATAGATGGTGGTAAAAAAAAATTGGAAAAGGAAGGTGCCACAGTTCCAGAGAAGAAAATGAGAGATGAAAGTAATGAATGAGGGCAGTGTGAAAAAGAACAATGCCCCAGTCTTCCTTTCTGTGTTTTTGTCTCATCTTTTTTAGGTCTCCGTCTGCTCTCCTGTCCTCCTCCCTAGACTACACACACACACACACACACACACACGATCAAAGGTCTTGCCCGGAGAACCTCTCTAAAGGAATTTGTGCAGCAGTCGGTGTCCTGCCAATACTGAGCTGTGTGTAATGTGTCAGAGACAGTAGGAAATCCTTTGAACATTCAAATCATTGTCTCTCTCTGGCATCCTTACTTTTTTTTTCAATTTTGTTCCCTCCCTCTTTCTTGCTCACTGTCAAATTTGACTCAACCATCGTTCAATATCTTGCACTTGTCACCTCCTCTTCCCACACACTCACTGTGAATTTCTCCCACTCCTGTCTTTCTCCCAGTGTTTGTCTCTTCTTTCAGGATTACTCCGCAGTAAAGAGTGTGGACTGAGGCTGCCTCTCAGCAGGTTTTGTTGACACTCTCGAACCGACTCTCGCACTAGGAAAAAGGTTTGGAAGCAGCAAGACAAACTGTCTTTCAGAGCAGTCACCGGGTGTTTGTGGATTTTAGTCAAAGCTACGTCTGGGTGCAAAACCATTGCCATGAAATACCACTGTGCACGGTTGTATTCAGCACAGTACACTTCTGCTGGGACTGTGTGTTACTACATTTATTAGACTGTGGCTACAAAGTAAAAAAGCAGAACCTTATTAACAAGAGATTGTGGTTGTGTTTATATACTCTCGTGAATTGTCAATGAAAAAAAAAACTTCTGCAAACTGCAGTAACATACACAGTATTTTTGCGTTTGCATTAAAATTTGTCGAAACCCAGTAGATAAGTAGCATGTCATGACGGCACACACTGAACACTTTTTTAATCTAACACTTTATAGCCCACACATAATTAGCTTTAACAAATACCTTTGCTCCATAACTATTTATTTTGTATAATTTTCAAGTTATTTTGTATGAACTATCCTGCTTTCAGTATTAAGAAACAAAAATCTAGTTTTCTAGTTTTTGTGTAATTTAGTGTTATTATGTGATGTCGTGACACCAAAAATCAGTTTCATGTTTCCTTGAATGTCATCGATGAGAGCTTTTCTTCTCATGAACTTTCACCATCTGTTATTTCAAGACTACACTGATAGCAATCTGTCCTTTTTGTCTGCCATCACTACGGAGATGGCTGCTTATCTGTGTCATGTGTCTTAATTAGATGTCAGTGAAAACAGTGTATATCAGTGAGAAATTAATTGTTTTAAAAAGTGCAGGGGACCTAAAGTAACAGAGAGAAAAAGAGGTATACAGTGTAGTGGTATATCATTAATTTTTTCCTATTGGTTTTATATTGTTAACATTATTAGAGTTTGTCATGTTGCATAGTACTTGTAATGATATTTTGTGCATAATGGTAAAACTGCTCCTTAATGTTTGCGCTCGAGGCATTTTAAATCACAGCATTAAACCACCATAAGAACAGATGCATGTTTTTTTAATGCGTCACTGGTGACGCACTGGTGATGACATTAGTTGATGATGAATGAGTGAGAAGAGATAAGGCGTAAGAGGATGGGACACGAGCAGGAAGAAAAAGGATGGGACATAGGAGACCCGGTTGTTCCGGGCTCTAGCGATGCTTCCTGAAACAGAGAGGAAAGAATGCATGCTATTTTTAGATCCAGCACTGAGATTCTCCCTTCCACTTAGCGACTGTAAACACAGCAGTGAAAGGGCTTAAGGAAAAGCTTATGGGAATGGAAACAGGACTTCCTATATAACACCGTGCTTGAATGGAGATTATATGAACAGCTGAGTTCAAACTTGATTACCGCTTCTATAGGAACAATATAATTGTTAAATTAATGTATATAGTGCAAGATTCAGCGTGTTGACATTCGCTAAGAGCTAAAGATGTTTAGAACAGAAGGCGGATGTTTGTTGGGACAAGAAAGGGATGCTGTAGTGGAAGTATAAATAGCTTTCTTGGAGGCAAGCCTAATGATATCCAATATAAAATGCTTACAGGTATTCAAGTGTCAAGTTGAAGGATGTGTTGGTTGGAGTTATAGCCTGAGCAAAGTCTGGGGAAATTGCACAGGAGAGATATTTAATGAAAACATTGTAGCGTCTGGAGCTATGGTCAGCCTCAAATGCCAGGTATCTGTGCTAGTACGGCATATTTGAGAGTGAGAGCTCAGATTTGGGGTCATTGTAAGGTCTAAAAG